AGCAGTAGTAGCGGTAGAAGTAGTCGCCGCAATAATAATGGTGGTAAGAATAAGAATAGTCGTACCCGTCGTCGTAGTCGTAAAGGTAATACTAGCAACTAGAAAGTGTAATGCTCATACTGGTAGTGGTAGTAGTAGTAGTAGTAGTTGTAGTAGTAGTAGTAGCAGTAGTTCTAGCAGTAGTACTAGCAGTAGTAATAATAGCCGCAGTCGCAGTAGTAGTAGTAGTAGTAGTAGTAGCAGTAGTAGCAGTAGTAGAAGTAGTAGTAGTAGTAGTAGTAGCCGTAGTAGTCGTAGCAGTAGTATCGGTAGTAGCAGAAGTAGTAGTAACAGCAACGACCATACGAATAGTAACTGCAACAGTAGTAGTCTCGTCGTCGCCACCGTTGTTGCAGTCGTAGTCGTAGTCGTAAAAGTAGTAGTAGTCATATGTTTAAAAGTGGTAGTAGTAGAAGAAGTAGTAGTAGTAGTGGTGGTGCTGATTGTAGTAGCATCTGGGATTTTTTAATGGTGGCAACAATGGTAGAAGTAGAAGTAGTGGTGGCAGTGGTAGTAGTAGTAGTAGTCGTCGGTGTCGTCGCCGTGGAAAAAGTAGCAGCAGCAGTAGTAGTAGTAGTAGTAGTAGTAGTAGTAGCAGTAGTAGTAGTTAGTGGTAGAAGTAGAAGTAGAAGTAGTAATAGTAGTGGTGGTGCTGGTGGAAATTGTAGTAGTAGGGATAGAATTAACGGTACTAGTGGTAGAAGAAGAAGTAGTGGTAGTAGCGGTAGTAGTAGTAGTCGTCGTCGTCGTCGCCGTCGTATCGGTAGTACTAGTAGTAATAGTGGTGGTGCTGATAGTGGTGGTGGTGCTACTAGAAGTAGAGATAGAAGTAGCGGTAATAGTAATAGTAGTACTTGTCGTCGTCGTCGTCGTCGTCGTAGTGGTAGTAGTTGTAGCCGTCGTCGTCGTCGTCGTTGTAGCAATAGTAGTAGTGGTGGAAGAAGTATTGGTGGTTGTAGTAGTAGCCGCAGTAGTAATAGTAGTAGTAGAAGAAGTAGTAGTAGTCGTAGTAGTAGCAGTAGAAGTAATAGTAGGAGGTCATCGTAGTGGTAGTAGTAGTGGTAGTAGCTGTAGTAGTAGTAGTAGTAGTAGTAGTAGTAGAAGTAATAATAGTAGTGGAAAGTGGCAACAGAGGTAGCAGCGGTAGCAGTTAAAAAAATGTAGAAGTAGAAGCAGCAGTAGTAGCCGCAACAATGATACCAGTGGGGGTGGAAGTAGTAGCAGCAGTAGTAGTAGTCGTAGTAGTAGTAGTAGTAGAACTCGTAGTCGCAGTGATATTATTAATGATATTGTAGTAGCAGCAGCCGTAGTAGTAGTAGTAGCAGTAGAGGAGTAGTAGTAGTAGTAGTAGTAGTAGTACTGGGAGTAGTCACAATGACAATAACAGAATTATCAGCGGTAGTGGTATATATCGTGATAGTAATACCAACACTAGCGATAGTAGAAGTACTAGTAGTAGTTGTAGTAGTAACAATAGTAAAAATACGGGTAATTGTAGTAGTAGTAGTAGTAGTTGTAGTAGTAGTAGTAGCAGTAGTAGTAGTAGTAGTAGTAGTCGTAGTAGTAGTAGTAGTAGTAGTAGTAGTAATAGGGTTGTCCGGTGTTCTTGTTCCGCTTAAAGAGGGTGTAGAGGGTGTAAGGGTTCGGGTTCGGGTTCGGGTTCGGGTTCGGGTTCGGGAGCGCGCCCCGAACAAAAATACTAATATGTATATATGTATATATATATATATGTGTATATATATACATACATACATACATGTTTATGTAAATATACATAGATAGATGTATGTATACATATATATATATATATACAAGAATCTTCAGCCCCCCCGCGGCCTCGGGCGAAACTGTCGAGAGACGCGGGCGACGCGGCATGCTGCTGCGCAGGGGTTCGGGCGCGTTGTTTTCCGCGTGGTTGCGCGCCGACTCGGGGCGCTCCTGAACACACCACGTAAAAATGCTATACAGAATGCCCACGTCGCCCGCGTCTCACGCCAATTCCGCTCGAAACCGCGGCTCCCCGCGGCCTCGGGCGAGCGTGACGTGAGACGCGACGCGGTTGACGCGAGGCTTGGGCGTCGTTGTTTGCTGCGCGGTTGCGCGCCGACTCGGGGCGCTCCTGGAAACACTACGTAACAACACTACGCAGAATGCCCTCGTCGCCCGCGCCTCGCGCCAGTTCCGCCCCAATCCGCAGCTTCCCGCGGCCTCGGGCGAAAGTGGCGAGAGATGCGGGCGACGCGGCATGCTGCTGCCCAGGGGTTCGTCCGGAATCTTCAGAAATCTTCAGGAATCCCGAAGAATCCCGAGGAATCTTGCCGACTCGGGGCGCTCCTGGAAACACTACGTAACAACACTACGCAGGATGCCCTCGTCGCCCGCGCCTCGCGCCAGTTCCGCCCCAATCCGCAGCTCCCCGCGGCCTCGGGCGAAAGCGGCGAGAGACGCGGGCGACGCGGCATGCTGCTGCGCAGGGGTTCGTCCGGAATCTTCAGGGATCCTCAGGAATCCTACAGAATCTTGAGGAATCCTAAGGAATCCTGAGGAATCCGCAACAATCCATAGCAATCCTGTGGAACACTCAAGAATCCTGAAGGAATCCTGAAGAATCCTGAGGAATCCTGCGGAATCCTTAGGAATCCGCAGGACCTTCAAGAACCCCGATGAATCCTGATGAATCCTTCCTCCGGATTCTTGAGGACTCCTCAGCAACCCTCAAAAATCCTCCAGAATCCTCAGGAATCCAAAAAGGAATCCGCAGGACTCTTCAGGAATCCTCAGAAATCCAAAGTAATCCTCAGGGATCCTCAGAAATCCTGAAGGAATCCTGAGGAATCCTTCAGAATCCAAAGGAATCCTCAAGAATCCGCAGGGAATCCTCAGGAATCCCTAGAAATCCTTAGGAATCCTGCCTGAGGAATCCTCAAGAATCCTGAGGGAATCCTGAGGACTCCTCAGGAATCCTCAATAACCCAAAGTAATCCTCAGGAACCTGAAGAATCCTGAGGGAATCCTCAGGAATCCTCAGGAATCCTGCCTGAGGAACGTAATGCAAAACAATTCTTGGGGAACCCTGAGGAAACCCTAGCTTTCCATTGGCACCAAAGACCTCCAAAAGCGGAACATGGACGCCGGATTCCCCCAGTAGTAGTAGTAGTAGTAGTAGTAGTAGTCGTCGTCGTCGTCGTCGTCGTCGTCGTCGTCGTCGTCGTCGTCGTCGTCGTCGTCGTCGTCGTCGTCGTCGTCGTCGTCGTCGTCGTCGTCGTCGTCGTCGTCGTCGTCGTCGTCGTCGTCGTCGTATGGTAGTAGTCGTAATGTTCGTAGTAGTAACGGTAGTAGTCGTATAACGAATGGTGGTATCAGAACCAATGTTATTAGTAGCACCAGTGAGTAGCAGTAGTAGTAGTCGCAGCAAAAGTAGTAGCAGCGGTAGTAGTGAAAGTATGTGTGCTACCTCCCTTCTCTTCTTGTCGTCCCCCTCCCTCCTTCTCCTACTCATCCTCCTCCTCCTTCCCTACCTAATACTCATCGTGTGCAGTCCCCCTGCTTCCGTATCCTCATGTTCCTCTTCACCCTGCTCCTCCGTCTTCTTCTCCTTCTCCGCCACCTCCTTGACCTCCTCCTCCTCCTCCTCGATATCCTCCTCCTCCTCCTCTTCCTACTCCTCCTCTTCTTCCTCCTCCGCATGGCCATCATCATCATCATCAGCAACATCAGCATCATCATCACCACCACCAACATCATCATCCTCATCGCCAGCATCTTCATAAGAATCATCATCATCATCATCATCATCATCATCATCATCATCACCATCATCATCATCATCACCAATCAGCATCACCAGCATCATCACCATAATCCTCCTCGTCGACATCATCACTATCGTCATCATCCTCATCATCATCCCCATGATCACCATCATCATCATCAGCAGCAGCACATCATCCTCATCATCATCATAATCACCATTACCATCATTATCATTCAGATTCGCAGCAGCATCCGCATCATCGTCATCATCATCATAATCAGCATCATCGTCAGCATCGTCATCAACAGCAGCATCAGCATCACCATCATCAGCATGATGATCATCATCATCATCAGCATCGTCATCCGAACTTGCATCATCATAATCCTTATCAGCAGCATCACCATCATGATCATCAGCATCAGCATGATCAACAGCATCAGCATCTGCCTCATCATCACAGACAGCGTGATCATCATCACAATTTCATCACCATCATCACCATCATCATCAACACTACCATCAGAATCGTCATCCTCATCACCGTTCATTCACATCATATTCGTCATCACCCGCATCAACAGCAGCAGCACCATCATAATCAGCATTATCAGCATCATCAACATCATCAGCATCATCATCACCGTCATCAGCATCATCATCAGCAACATCCCCATCATTCCAATCATTAACATCGTTGTCATCGTCACCATCATCACCATCACCATCAGCATCACCATCATCATCAGCAGCAAGAACAGCAGCAGCATGCTATTCCGCTTTCTATTCTGATTCATTCCCCCTCCCTCCCTCCCCTTCGCTCCCGATATCCGTCCACTTACCCTGAGTCCCACCCGGCCACCCTCTCATGTCCACTCTTTCATCCCTCTCCCCTCACCGTACAAGACACGCACACCTCCCATCCCTCGAGAAAAGAGAGAGGGAGAGAGAGAGCGAGAGGGAGTGGGAGAGAGGGGAAGCAGGAAGAGATGGGGAGAGGGAGCGGGGTCCGGGGTACAGTGGGAAGAAGGGGAGAAGGGGGCAAAAGGAGGGGGAAGGGTGAGGGGGGCAGCGGAGGGGGAGGGGAGCGGGGGGGGGGCGTTGACGGAGATGGAACGGAGAGAGGAGGAGAAAAAGTGGCGTGGACGCGGGGGGGATGGGGCGGAAGGGGGGGGGGCAGAGGGCGAGGGCATGAGGGGGGAAAGTTGGTCAAGAGGAAGTGAGAGCGGGGTACGGTCAGGTCGGGCATGTCATCCTTCAAGCGGATTTACAAACAAAAAAATGCATGAATAGTGAAAAGAGCACTATTCTTGAACATTCCTCCTGTAGAGGGACACGCCCGACTTAAAGCAAGCGGATCACGAGCGCTCTTTGCTCCCCCCGGCGCCCCGAAGACGACGACGCCGCTCCCTCCAGGCCAGGACGCGCCGGCTGTGCTAGCTCCTGTTGCGGCGTCTGGCATGGGGCTGAGCGCGACAAGCGCACGATGAGGGGCGGGAGGCAGACGAGCAGGAGGTGAGCAGGGCTCCTGGCGGTTCAGAAGAAGCCCCTCCGGCCCATCATGCCCCCGCCGAAGCCCCCGTAGCCCATGCCATAGCCCATGCCGCCCCGACGCCGGGTGCCTAGCAGGAACGGCGAGAACATGTTCCACAGCATGTAGAGCTGCCACCATCCCATGCGGTGAACGGGGATGATGCCCTTCCAGCACAGGACGCCAATCACCCCGACAACGATGTAGGTCTGCGAGGCTCGGCTTAGACCGAGCCCGTTCAGCATGCCGCCCAGCACCTCGCCCTCGCCGCTGCTGCTGCTGTACCCGCCACCGTAGTCGTACGGACTGTAGCCACGCCGATCGTAGTCCCAATCGTCGGCGCCGCGGCGCGGCTGTCGGCGGCCCTCGCGGCGGTCGCCGTGGCCGCGGCGCGAGTCGTCGTCGTCGTCGTCGTAACGGCCATAGCCCTGGGCTCGGTCGTCCCCGGCGCGCCCGTGGCGCTGGGAGCCCAGGCCGCGGTCGCCTCCCAGGCCGCCTGGGCTGTCGTACGCGCCGGGGCCTTGGGCCGAGGCGTCGGCGAAGGTCCTGGCGGAGCTGGCGCGCCCGACGTCGGCCGAGTACCTCCGACCAGCCATAACTGGGGGAGCTGTGGTCCTTACCACCCTGGGGGAACCCATCGCAGCGACGATCCCTCGAGAGGGGTGTCGATAAATCGATGGGTCCCCCCTGGGGGGGTAAGGACCAGAGCTCCCCCAGTTGTGGCTGGCCTGTACCTGGCGCTGTTCTGGGCCCAGGCGGCGGCCACGAGGAGCACCACGGCGGCGCCGAGGAGGATCTGCCACCACCTTAGCCGCCCCGCGGCGCAGCACGCAGCACTGCAGCGTGCCTGGCGCGGAGCGCAACACTCCGAGCGGCAGCGTAGGCCTGGCGCGATGCGTTCGCCAGAGCGTGGCCCTACACGTGCCGAGCCAACACGCAGCGTGTTGGCACGGACGTTTTGAACCCGGCACGTGTTTAGAGGCCTCTCGCACGGGGTCCGAGCAGATGGGATCCGAGGATCGCGCTGCATTGCCAACACATCGGCGATGCATCGCCGATGCATCGCCAACGTCGGCGACGCTCGGCGACGTCGGCGTGGAGAAGGTCGGGCTCCGCATCGAGCCGCATCGTTGATGCATCGGCGGTGCGGCGCGACCCTCCGACCCCATCTACTCCGACCCCATCTGGGAGGCCTACATTTGAGCAGGGACCGACCGTACCGGCATTTCTAGAGGCATACCACGATATGTTCTTAGAACCCAAAAATGTTCTAAGAACAAAAACAATGTTCTTAGAACATAGACCCGATGTATTAAAACAGGACAGTCCCAGCCAGAAATGTTCTAAGAACAGCTCGTCGAAACCACAGAAGGTTCTTAGAACACTCTTTGGTAGGCCTCTTGGCGAGCCAAGACGCTTCGCCACTGCTTGATACATTGCTGCGCCTCAGCACGGGCGCATCAGGGCAGCTAAGGCTACCACTGATAGCCCGAGCCGGCCACCCAGACCTGCGCCTGGACGACGGCCCTGCGGGTGGCCGCCTGCGCCCTCTCGACGAAGCCCAGCCCGGCGGCCGCGCCGCCGCCGCCGCCGGCTGGCGAGGCCGGACCGCCTGCCAGCGGCGCGAGGCAGCCCGCCCGGAGGCTCTTCTGCTCGCCTTCTGCGGCAGCTCGTGGGGACCTCCCACACCATCTGATTGGGCCCCTGCGAACCGACGCGAACCGACGCGAATCGACGCTCCTCGAGGCTGATCGGGGCGAGCCGACTCTGAACCGGGGCTATCTCATCGATGGCCAAACGCGCTGACCGAGGCTAAGCGCACTCTAGGATGAGGCCGGGCGCGTCCCCCTACAGGGGGATTTTCGACGAAAAATAAAACAGACTCAACAAAAATATGCAGCGGATGCCCCAAAACTACTCAAAAATAGTCCCCCGACTCTTTTTGACTATTTCTGAAGATTCCCACTGTAGGGAGACAGGCCCGATTTGACTCGAGGGACGGCGTTGTAAAACAGGGCTAGGATCGGGATAAATCGCTCCAGAGCGTTCCGGAGCGCTCTCAGAGCGTTCCGGAACGCTCTGGAGCGGCCGCGGCGCCCAATACATCCTCCAAACCCGCCGATTCTCAGAGATTTCGAGTTATCCCGTTCCGATTTTGTCCCGATCTTCGCGTCGTTTTACGTCGCGAGGGGACACGGAGGCTCCCACGGAAGAGGACGACGAGGAGGAGGAGGAGGAAGGAGGAGGAGGACGAGGAGAGGAGGAGGAGGAGGAGGAGGAGGAGGAGGAAATCTTGTGCTTAGGAGGTCGGATGTGCGAGGGGGCACGGAGGCTCCCACGAGCTGCTGCCCGGCTCGCCGCTGCCGTCCAGCTCCACGACGTAGCGCCCGGACGCCGCCTCGAAGCGCAGCACGGTGGCGGCCCTGCCGTTGAGCTCCGCGGCGCCCTGGCAGAGGGGGAGGAGGAGGAGGAGGAGGAGGAGGAGGAGGAGGAGGAGGAGGAGGAGGAGGAGGAGGAGGAGGAGGAGGGAGGAGGAGGAGGAGGGGAGGAGGAGGAGGAGGAGGAGGAGGAGGAGGAGAGGAGGAGGGGGGAGGAGGAGGAGAGGAGGAGGAGGAGGAGGAGGAGGGAGGGAGGAGGAGGAGGAGGAGGAGGAGGAGGGTCCGTGGCTGCTGAATCGGATCGGAAGCGGGTCGGACCACCACAGCGAGTCGTCCCGCATCGGATTGGAATCGGATCGCCGCGCCGGGCTCCGGCTGGCACCGGCCGATGCTGGGGAAGCGGGCCGCATCGGACCGAATCGGAATCGCGGCCCCGGCAGGCGAATCGAATCGCATCGCATCGAATCGTAGGCGGAAGTCGGGCCTGTCCCCCTACAGGGGGATTTGGGGCGAAACAAAGCAAAAAATGCCCACTGAATGCCCGAAAATAGTCAAAACATCGTCCCCTGGCTATTTTTTACTATTTCTGCATTTTCCCCCTGTAGAAGGACAGGCCCGACCTCATCGTGGGCGGCCCTGCCTGGAGCCCCTGCAGCCTCACCCGGGCGCCGGCCGAGAGGCCCTGCGCGGCGGCCTCGTTGCCGGGCGCGCCGCTGCCGGCGTGCCCGGAGGCCCCGCGCCGCTCGGCGTCCACGCGCTCGCGCTCGCGCTGGAGCTCCTCGCGCTCCCGCCGCAGCGCCTCCCGCTCCTTCTCCAGCTCCTCCCGAAGAGGGCAGAGCGCCACATGAGAGGTAACCTTCTGGCGCTCCGCGCGGGCTCCGGGGATCTGCGCTGGACGCCCCCCTCCCTGGCGCGCCGAGCGCGCCAGGGGCGGCGCTGGAGGCGCCGCCGCGGGGGGGGGCCATTGCGGACCCAAGAAATCCGCGCGGAGCGCCAAAAGGCTTCTGTCTGTGGCGTTGTCCCTTCTCCGGCTCCTCCTGCTCGGCCCGCAGCTTCCACTCCTCGAGTTTCCTCGCGCCATGGGGTGGGCCAGGAGCCCGCTTCCGGCAGAGGGCCCTCTCTGGTGAGAGCTGCCAGGGGGCACTCCACGGGCGCACGGCACCGCATTCCGAGTGGGCCCAGGCGGGGTAGCCAGTCGACGCCCAGACACAAGCAAGCGTGACTAGCGAAGCGCGCGTCGATGAACCCTATGCCCCCCGATACTCGGAGGGTGGGGATGATAAAATTCGGGGTTCTGGCGGGATGATAGACTTTTCCCGGCAGGTCGCAACACAAGGGCGGAGGTGCAAGAGGAGGAGCGAACGGAATCTTTCGGAGTGTATGGATGCACGGAGGGTCTCATGCTATAACGATACCGTGCTCGCTCTTGCGGGGCCTCCCTGGAGGGGTGGGAGGAGTAGGAATCCTAAGAAATCCGCCGACCCTGTCGGCGTGTGTGAGGGGCTTTTCCGTTCGAGCCGGGCTTTTCCGTTGGAGTCGTCGTCTCCGGCCTCCTCTGATCCATTTGCCTGGGCCATCTTCCTCATACGCGCCGTCCAAAGCAAAAATGAACAACATGGGAGCGGAATCGAAGGGAAGCCCCTTCCCTTTGATCCCTTCCCCGCGCCGGGAGGGGGTCCTGGGAGGGGTCCCGGGGGGGGGTCGCCACCCAGATACGCTTCCCCCACACGCGATTCCGAAACACGCGCGGTCCCCGCGCGGTCCCGGAACCCCCGCGCGGTCCCGGAGGCACAAAAAGAACGCCCCTGGAATTCTCCACGAGACCTCCAAGACGCTCCAAGAGGCCTCCAAGAGCTGCAAGAGGCCTCCAAGAACACTCCCAAGAGGGCCACAAGAGGAAAAAAATATTCATTGTAAGGTTTTTGATCGATTTACGGGATTCTCGCCTTTTCGGCTTCCGAACACTCCAAGACGGCCCAAGAGGCCCCAAAGATCGCCCCAAGGTAGTCCGAGAGGCCTCCGAGCGGGCCCCAGAAAGACCCAAGAGGGCCCCAAGACGGCCCAAGAGGCCTCCAAGACAGCCCGAGAGGCCCCCAAGACGGCTCCAAGAGTGCCCAGACGGGGAACCCGAACGGACATTTCGAGCCCTCGGCCTGAGAGGCCCCCAGGAAACGCCAAGAAGCCCCCAAGACGCCTCCAAGAAACCCCCAGATTCGATCCGCCCGGGAAGCCCCAAGAGTCCCCTAGGAGCCTCCCAACAGGCCCCCAAGAGGCTCCCAAGAAGCCCGAAACTTACCCCCCAGAGGCACCCGAGAGCGCTCCGGATAGACACCAAGAAGTATCCCTGAGGACTCTGACCCACGTCAGTCTCGTCATGTCGTCGTTCAGGGCCGGCGGCACCGGCCGTAAGGTCTCTGAAATACCGTGGTATAGCGATACTGATGGCAACCATGATGATGATGACGATGATGATGATGATGAGGAGGAGGAGGAGGAGGAGGAGGAGGAGGACGAGGAGGAGAAGGATAATGCTGGTGATGATGATGGTGGTGATAATCATGGTGGTGATGATGATTATGATGACAATAACGATAACGATTAGATTAGATTAGAACCCATCGGAGGCGGCCCCGTCACTCCCACGTGCCCAAACGCCTCTAGGATCGGGCTAAACCCGAGCTTAAGTATGCGATGTGCGACCACGCATCTCGCGGCACACTACTACGTTCAGTAGTTACCGCGATGCCCCCGCGAGAAGTCGAAGCACAGCTGACTGGTCAGCCTGGCTAAAACGCTCGGAAAACCTAGAGCCCCGTCGGGCTCCACCCTGGTCCCTCGACGCGCCTCCAAAAACATCACGCGCTCCAGGGTCCGTATGGGGCCTCCGAGGCCGCACGGGTCTTGGGATCTCGACAGGGCGTGGCGGTACCACCTGGGTCCGAGGTGCGGGGGTGGGGCAGGTGAGAGGGGGCTCGTCAGGCCGAGAGGAAGGGGTGGGAGTCTCCAGAGTCCTACTGGCAGCCTGTCGGGCACAGGGGTGGAGAGTCGGAGGAATTTGCGAGGAGGGGGGAGAGGTCACCTGGGCCTCACGTGCAGCCTCACAGAGCCTTCTCACCACGGCATCCTGGCGACGTCGTTTCTCCTCTGGCCCCTCGCACCGTGGTCCTGCGTCTGGTGACTGTGTTCGGCCTAGTCCATCATGCCTCCTTCGATCTCGTGCAGGCCCGTGTGGATCAGCCTCTCTAAGTGGCCCATCGGGGCCATCCCTTGTTTGTAGTCCGCCCCTGCCTGGACTAGGGCCTCCAGCACGGGGGTCAGGTTCACTCTGCTCCCGAACGACAGCACCAGCTTCACCTTGCCCTCCTCGTAGCAGTCTGAGAGCTTCGCCATCGGCACTGCTTCGCCCATCTCGTGAACTGTCAGCTTCGCTAGCTCTTCCTTCAGAGTGCTGAGTTGTTGCTGGTTCGCGCGGCCCACCGCGCTCCCCTCTGCCAGCAGCCCCTCGAACACCCCCGCGAAGCATGCCACTCAGATAGTACCCATCTGCTTGATCTTCACTTGGCCCTGCTCCTTGTCGTTGCCTGCACGGATCTCCTCGGCGGCGCGAATCCACGCTCGCACTCTTCCCCTCGCCTTGACCGCTGGCTGCAGCCCTGGCGACATGAGGAACGTCTTCAGCTCGATCGACTCGATCTGCCTCTGGCGGCGCGCCAGGTTCAGCAACAGACGCATCATCACGGGAAAGAACTTCTGCATGGTCGACACCTCTATCTCGTCTCCGCCGAGCTCGCTGAGGTCCACCAGCTTCGCGTCCTTCCTCGGCGCCTTCTCGTTGCCGCCGCCCTTGCCTGTCGCATTGGCCGCCTTGGCGGTCTGGGGGCCGCTATTGCGCCCCCCCTTGGCTGTCTTCCTCGGCCGTCCTTCGGCGTCGCCCTCGGCTATCTCGGGCAGCCCCTGCATCCACGACGTGCGGCCGAGGTTGAGGAAGATGAGTAGTGCGAATGTGGTGCTGCAGGGCTTGGATATCATCGAAGTCTCGGCCACATTCTGTCTCTGGGCACTCAAACAGCAGCGGAGCTATGACAGCATGATTGAACACCGAGAAGTCAGCGATGCATCTCCCGTGTCTATAGGCAGCAGCGATGTGGTTGATAACAGTGCGGCGACAAGCGAACGATGACAAACACGAAAGACACTGGTTCGTCACTGTCAATCTCGTGAAGAAGTTCAGTTTTCCGCGCCCCCCTCCGCCTGTGTGTGTCTGATGCGCACGTAGCGCCGCCATTGTGCGAAACCTGCGGTTGCATTCCAGACCCTCCTCGTCGATCAGCGAACACAGAAAACCGCCCTCGAAGCACTCCTGATCCTCGCACGGCCTTGTGGGAGTAATTGTGGGGCGCTCAAGCCAGACCTTGCGGAGCTTCGCTACATCGAACTTGAGAAACTGCTGTTTCAGTTCTGCGCCCAGGAAAACCTTCACGTGATCGTCCCCCGCCGTCTCCAGGAAGTCCAGGCCCCCTTGGAGCTCCCCAAGAAGAAACAAGTCGTTCTTGTACTGCAGGGCCCAGGGGTTCGCGCGATCCTTTGGGGTGATGGGCGGGGCACACGGTGGCGCCCACGCAAAAGTCTGGTTCTCTGGGTTATCGAAAGTGACTTTCCCGAAAACAGCAGCGAGCTCCTGAACATGCCGTTGGGGATTGCGGACGAGAGCTTGAAAGTGGCGGAGCCGTCGGATACCAAGTTCCACGCTGGGGGGGTACTATCGCGATGCGCTTCCACACGGCTTCCGCACACACCGTCGTCACCTTCCACCTGGCCTCCGCAGCTTCGCCCCCCTCCCCCACCTCACCCTCGTTCAGCCTGCGATAGACCGCTACCCCATTGCACAGCGCAGCAGCATAGCGCGTAGCCGCCGAGTCAAGACGTCTGACCTGCTCCTCTGTCAAAACCCGAGCTTCAAGTCCCGCCAGCGCCGCTCCTATAAGACGAGCCCGAAACACCAGACGCCTCCGATTAAAATTCTGACAGGTCTTCCAGAACTTCCCCATTCCTCGCCAGCCCACCCGGATCGCCGCGCACCTAGCTCGGACCCCCTCGTCGTTCCTCCCCGAAGACTGCGTGTGAGCTCCCAGGAACACCGAGGTCGCCTGGACCTCCCCCGAGATGGCGACCTTGTGGTAGTGCAGGGCCCTTGCAGACCTCTGAGCCCCTCGCCCCACGAAACATGGGCTAACAGTTTTTTTTTTCTCACGGCTCTGGGCGAGGCCAACCCGTCCCAGTGCAGCATCAAGATACTGATCTGAAACTTCCACTCGACGAGCTGCACTGCACGCATCTGGGGCAATATGAGTACATGTGAGGTCATCAGCATACTTCCTCACTCCCACGTCGCACACTTCCTGGGTGACTGCGCACCCAGCTATCAGCTCGTGGATCGACGTCGAAGGAAAGAGATCTCTCCTCCACTCAGCCGTCGGCGTCTCAAAAGCCAGCCTAAACTTCGCGGCCGCGTCTGCGTCACCCATAAAACAACCCACTCGATTCTGAAAGACACCCGTGCCATCGCAAGCGTCGACCACGCACGCTGTGTTCCGATGTCGTGTTACCATAATCTCCACATCCTCAGGCTGGTACAGCTGCAGGACCGCGTCGTCGAGGTGGTGGTGCGTGACGCTGGCGAAGGCGTTCGTCATGACGTGCTTGGTCGTGATGTGGCTCAGGCCTGCCGCACTGAGTCGCCATTGTAACACATTGCCCACGGTCAGCGCACCCACTCGTGACCGCCCTCTCACATAGCCATGATCCTCAGGTGGTGGAGTCAGCCCAGTCCTAGGCTGCCTCGCCCCCACCCACGCCTTGCCGAAACTGCAGAGCCCGTGTAGTAGACGTGTCCCCCTCGTCCGTGGTTTGTGATTCTGCTTGCTTACCTGATACGTCTGCGAGAGGTTCCACCAGGCGTTAAGTCGATTGTGTTGCCGTACTCCCGCTAGTTGTGCCAGTAGACACTCTTGTAGGTAAGCACCCGCCACCGCTGGTTGGTCATTGGTAGTACGTCGGGGCGCGCGGCAGGTGAGAAGAGCACCCCAAGCCTCCATCGGTAGTGACCACGGTGGTGCTGCACGTCGGCGTCGTCCTTGGTAAAACTTCGCAATTACTCCATCCAGGTCACGGTTGGCCTGCTCCCAGTGCTCCATCTCGGGGTCGAATGGATAGTCGTGGGCGGACGCTGCACCAATAAACTCCTCCGTAATAGTGGCAATGGCCTCCATTCCCACCCTCCCGTCCACTCAGTGCCAAATCCTCCGTCCACGTTTGTAGGTCAGGCCTGGCATCAGGTAGTATGGAATGATTCCGCTTCCGTGGTCCCAATCCATTGCCCGCCATCTGAAAACTGACCCTCCAGGCCAGATCTTCTCGGTTACTTCGTAGTGCCTCCTCCAGTTCGCGATTCAGCTCACTCTGTCGTTCCCTCTTGATGGTCATCCTAGCTTGCTTGCATCGTCGCGTACACTGTCGCAGTCGCCGGATGCTGTCCAGGTCGCCGTCGAGCTTGTCACGTGCTCTGGTACGAGCCCTCAGCGCAGCCTCCCTTTCTCTCGCCATCTCTACGTACCACTGCGGCCGATGTCGACGTGTCGTGCTGTACCAAGCTTGGGCAGCCGCGCGGATCGTCGCCACCACCTTTTCCCAGGCTGTTTCGAGCGTGTGGGAGCGCATCCAGGCGTCCACCTCTAGGTACCCGTCCTCGTGCAATTGCTTCGCCAGTGCCCCCTCCACCTCCTCTCGGAACTGTAGCGCCTCTTCCTCGTCATTCATCGCACGTCCCAGTGATAGGTAGTCCCAATGTACGCCTTGATTGACAGGCGCGCTGCACGTGAGCTCATAGTCCAGCTCCGCAACAATAATCATATGATCCAGCACCGCCACACTAGGTATCGCACGTACCCGTCTTGTCAGGGAATGCGCGACAGCACAGCGCTGCACACGGCACATCCAAAGGGCGGATATCACCATATGATCTATATGGCTGCAGCTGCGGTGGCCGTAGTATGTCGGGCCACAGGGATACCAGCTCGTAATCGCTGCCAGGCTGTTCTGCTCCATCCAGTCGCGGTAGTGGGTGCCCGCTTGATGCTCTATGCTGCGTCCATGGGGCCCCAAACTCTCACTGTCCACTTCTTGCTGTATGCCATCGACACTCCGTATACCCAAGCCATCATTTAGATCCGTCGCCGCGATCATCGTGGAACGATTGGGGGTCCCCGCAGCAATATGTTGTAACTGTTCAACCAGCTATCTTACCGTCGCCTCATACTTTGGAATACTCTTGGCGTCTTTGCACCTCGGGGGGAAATCGCTGACCACAAAGGTGAAGTCGTGCTGGATTGATCTCACTCGTACCGCGCCCAGTCGTCCTTGTAGCCCCTGAGGGACTGCCCAGAAGTGTACCAGCTGTGCCCGTCGAAATCGTCTCCGATTCAACCATATCTCCACTCCACAAGATTTGTTGACCATCGCTCCTCGTGGTCCCTGCCAACCAAACTTGATCATAATGAACTGTTCATGGAGGCACACGTCATGGTACGTGGGTGCATCTCGCTGCTTCTTCCCCGTTGTGCCTGCAAGCAGCACCACATCCGCGAATCGTAGCTGTTGTGCCACCTCGAGTCTCCTGTCATAGTCGCTCAGAGAGAGAGGGTTCCATTGCGCAATATTCATGCGGGTGGTCGCCCATCGCAGCACCGATGTGAGGCAGAAAATGAGGGCTGCGGAACTGGCCCTCATGCCCTGGGACCTCGGGCCAGGGCTTAACGATAACGACGACGATGATGATGACGACGATGATGATGATGGTGATGGTGATGGTGATGATGATGATGATGATGAGGATGAGGATGAAAACATGATGATGACCATGATAAGAAGATTCGAACTACGACGCATACTTCCCCTGGCGATAGTGAAGTTCGGCCCCGCCGCTCCCCACCGCTGACCAAAACTGTCTCGGCCGGGGATAATCATGATGATCGTGGAAGGGGGGATGCTTTATGATCCAGGGCATGCGGTTAGCTAAACCGACTGGGAACTGCACCCGCACACTCGAATGCACGACGTCGAGAGAAGGTTTGCAAATTTCCTTACTTGACTTGTCACTCGCAAATGCCCTGTCACACTATACGCCAAAGGTTGCGCATTACGCGTCCTCTGAAACTGAGCTCCAGAGTAGTTTATAGACGCGCACCTCCGAGACGAGCAACCTACAGCTTGAGAGCAACTTGTAGGGATGCCTGGCCTCTGCTGCACATTCGCCGACTGTGATATCTTGCAGGGGACCCCGACACTGTTCTGGCAATGTACAACGACTGTGCGCGAGTTTGCGAGCACGAGGGCGTTCTGGGAGGGCTCTCTCTAGAAGTAGAAAAAAAAACGCCTTCACATAATTTGTTGGCGCTCCGCGAGGATTTCTTGGATCTGCGCTGGACACCCCCACCCTGGCGCGCGATGGGCGCCAGGTGCGGCGCCAGAAGCGCCGTCAGAGGGCGCCCAGCGCAGATCCAAGAAATCCGCGCGGCGCGCCAAAAGTTTATGCTTGTGGCGATTTCTCTTCTTCGATTCTCTCCATGCCCGGCGATGCATCGGGGATGCACCAGAGACTCATCGTTGACGTCGGAGACGCATCGTCGACGTCGACGTGAAGCAAATCGGGCTCCACGTCAAGCCGCATCGGCGATGCATCGGCGATGCGGCACCATCTTCCGACCCCATCCACTCGGACCCCATGTAGGAGGCCTAGAGTACCGCCGGCCGAATCGGAAGCAGTACTCGTCGAAGGAGATGGTGCCTGAGTCACTTACCCAGACCCCCTCGCGTTGTGAAAGAATCACGACGGAAGGGCTTTCGCTATTTTCCGCCTCTGGGGGCCCCTGCCGGGCCTCGGGACCATCCATGAACGACGTAGGATGAAAAACTGGTCCAAGGGCACGGGTCGAGACCTCAGGGGGTTGACGGTATAAAAAAATCATGACGTCGGGGGCGTTCTCTCCGTGCCCGATCCTCTGCTGCTGCGGCGTCTTCCCGATCCATGCCAGAGGCGCCGCCAGAGGGGGCCCAGCGCAGGTCCAAGAAATCCGCGCGGAGCGCCAAAAGTTTCTGCTTAGGGCGTTCTGGGAGGGTTCGGTGGCAACTCATGGGAGCCCCCCATGCCATCTTGTCGGCTCTTGCGAATGGACTCGAATCGACGCTAAGTCGACGCTAAGTCGACGCGAATCAACGCTCGCCGACGCTAAGTCGGCGCTGTCTCATCGACTCCCAGACGCTCATCGACGCGACCCGACGCTGAAGACGGAATGCAGAGGGTACACCAGGCCCCGGTGATCTCCCCGTCGCTCGGACGTCCACTCCCTGTGCCTTTTTCAGTTTCGTGTGTGGCTTTTTCGCAGGATGATCCACAGGATGCTCCTTCAAAATCCCCGCCAGGGACAAAAAGAGCACACGCCCGAGCGACACCACGTGACCTCTGCCACCGCAGGAGCGCGCTCTCTCCGGGCCCGCTCCTCTGCTGCTGCCTCTTCCTGTCGCCCTCGGGCTCGTCCGCGGCCTCCTCCGGGGCCGCCGCGGCTCCCTGCGGGCCCGCCGCGCGGGCCCCGGGGCCGGCACCGACTGCGGCGCGGGTGGCCCGCTTGCGGCGGTTGAGCTCCATTTGGTACCTCGAGGCCTCCCGGAGGGGGTCCGAGTGGACGGGGCCGGAGGATCGCGCCGCATCGGCGATGCATCGTTGACGTCGGCGGCGCATCGTCGACGCCGGCGTGAGGCAAATCGGGCTTCACATCGAGCCGCGTCGGCGATGCATCGGCGTTGCGGCGCCATCTTCCGACCCCATCCACTCGGACCCCATGTAGGAGGCCTAGAGTACCGCCGGCCGAATCGGAAGCAGTACTCGTCGAAGGAGATGGTGCCTGAGTCACTTACCCAGACCCCCTCGCGTTGTGAAAGAATCACGACGGAAGGGTTTTCGCTACTTTCCGCCTCTGGGGGCCATTGCCGGCCGGGCCTCGGGACCATGCAAAAACGACTCAGGATGAATGGGTCGAGATCTCTGGGGGTTGACGGTTTAAAAAAATCATGACGTCGGGGGCCTGCGGAAAGTGGCCCAAGGGGCAACGCGTCCGATTCCGTCGGGGCCGGGCGGGCAGTCGCGCTCTGCAGGACGCCGTCGCCGATACACAGCACGCAACCCGCAGCGTGTTGGCACGGAGCTCCGCACGCAGGCTGGAAACGTACGCTCGGCGCGACCGCCCGAACGTGGGCCAACGCGCGCCGGGCCAACACGCCGCGCGTCGACACGGACGTTCTGAACACGGCACGCGTTGCGTCTCAAAGCGAGCGCATCCAAGTGCCTACCAGACCACCCCAACCCAACCCGAAGACCCCAATGTCGGGTTGGGGGGGTACGGGTTCCATGTGTGCGTGTTTTCTCAGTGTTCCCCGACCCCCCCCCCACTGGAAATGGAGGGCAAGTTGAAACCTTCGGGTTGGGTTGGGGTGGTTTGGTGGGTGGTGAGTATCAGGGCAGCCAAGTGCCGGAGCGGTCCGCGTCCAGCTGGTTTCGAAGGTTCTCAGCAGTGCGCTCGACCTCGGCATCGGCGGCATCCGGGGAGCAGCTCCGGGCGAAGAGCCGGCACGCCTCGCGCGCATCGATCTCGCCGTCGCCGTTGGAGTCCGCCGCGGCGAACTGTCTGCGCAGCTCCTCGATCACTTCCGCATCGAACATGGCGCTCGCGGCTGGCGTGGCCATGCTGCAAACTCAAAGACCCAGGCCACGGCTGTGCCGGGCAGCTCGGCGCGCAGATTCGAGCCGAAACGGCTGCGGGCTACAAAAACAGACAGTTCAATCCATCCTTTCCCCGTCCCCGCCATCCTCTGCCTCCTCCTCCTCCTCCTCCTCCTCCTCCTGCTCCTCCTCCTCCTCCTCGTCCTCCTCCTCCTCCTCCGCCTCCTCCTCCTCTTTGTCCTCGTCCTCCTCCTCCTCCTCCTCCACTTCCTCCTCCTCCCCTCCTCCTCCTCCTCCTCCTCCTCCTCCCCTCCTCCTCCTCCTCCCCCTCTTCGTCCTCCTCCTCCTCCTCCTCCTCCTCCTCTCCTCCCTTCTCCTCCTCCTCCTTCTCCTCATTTTCCTCGTCCTCCTCTTTTTCCTTCTCGTCCTCCTCCGCCTCCTCCTGCTCCTCGCCGTCCTCCTCCTCCTCCTCCTCCTCCTCCTCCTCTTCCTGCGCCTCCTCCTCCTCCTCCTCCTCCTTCTCCTCCTCCTCTTCGTCCTCTTCCTTCTCCTCCTCGTCCTTCTCCGCCTCCTCCTACTCCTCCGTTCCTTTTCCTTATAAACAAGTTCTCCCTGTCGCACCCCGAGGCCAGTTTTTAGGGCGGGCCGGGCGTTTTCGCCTGAGACTTCCTCACCACTTATGACTCTGAAACTGAAATATTGGCAACGGATTTCACAGACGGAGGGCGGGTTGCTTTCAACATGTGGCTCTCGTCTTAGCGCCGCGCACATTTTTAACCAGATATTTGTGAGAGATTCACGGATTGAAAACGGGTCGTTTTCAAAATGTGGCCCTTGCCTTAGCGCGGCGCACATTCGTTTCAAGCAATTGCCAATGCTTCACGGATCGAAACCGGGTGGTTTTCAAAATGTGGTTCTCGCCGTAGCGCGGCGCACGGTCATTTCAAACATGTGCAAGAGCTTCAAGGAATGAGGGCGGGTAGTTTTCAAAATGTGGCTCTCGCCTCAGCGCGGCGCAAAGTTGTTTGAAAAAATTGCAAACGTTTCACGGAAGTCCATCATCAACGTGCCAGGAATGGTGTTTGAAACGAGTCAGGTTTATGCGGGTGCGACAATTATGTTGGTTCGCCGTGTCGAAGTCCCAGGAACGGTGCTTCGGCACAATTCCGGATTGTCAAGACGCAACAGGTTGACCCGTGGCGTTGAAATCCCGCAAACAATGTCTTGGTATGCTTCAGGGTCTTCAAACGGTTGTTTTCCAACGAAGCAGGCCCCTCTGTGGAAATGAACTGTTGTAGGGGCCTACTAAGAGGGAGCTTGGAAGGAGGGTGTATTCCAACATCGTTGATGACTCTTGGGTTTACAGTGGTCCTCCTCCTCCTCCTCCTCCTCCTCCTCCTCCATTCCTTCTCCTTGTAACTAATTTTTCCCTGTCGCACCCCGAAGCCAGTACGGCGGGCCCGGCGTTTTGTCTGAGACTTCCTCACCACGTATGACCCTGAAACTTAAGAACTGACGACAGCTTCACAGATGGAGGGCGGGTCGTTTTCAAAATGTGGCTCTCGCCTTAGCGCCGCGCACAGTCGTTTTGAAAATAACGAGGGCTTCCCGGATTGAGGGCGGGTGGTTTTCAAAACGTGGCTCTCGCCTTAGCGCCGCGCACATTCGTTTCAAACATTTGCAAGAGCTTCACGGACTGAGGGCGGATGGTTTTCAAAATGTGTCTCTCGCCTTAGCGCCGCGCACGTTCTTGACACAAAAATTACAAGAGCTTCACGGACTGAAAACGGGTCGTTTTCAAAATGTTGCTCTCGCCTTAGCGCCGCGCACATTCGCTTGGAACATGTGCAAGAGCTTCACGGACTGAGGGCGGGTGGTTTTCAAAATGTGATTCTCGCCTTAGCGCCGCGCACATTCTTGAGAACAAATTGCAAGAGTTTCGCGGGTTGAAGGCGGGTAGTTTTCAAAATGTGGCTCTCGCTTCAGCGCGGCGCACATTTGTTTTTCCAAATTTGCTAGAGCTTGACGAATTGAGGGCGGTTCCTTTTCAACATGGGACTCTCGCCTAAGCGCCGCGCACATTCTTGATAAAAAAATACAACAGTTTCACGGGCCTCCATGATCGACGTATTGCGTGTTGGAAAGATCCACGATTAGTAATGAAAAAATTGTATTTTGAAACGGTGTTTTGAAATGGTGAAGGCGTCACAGTTACGATGGCTCGCGTACTCGAGGTCCCATGAATAGCGTTCTGGCACGACAAAGAATCGTCAAAACGCAAAGTCAGGTTCATCCGTGGCGTTGGAATGCCGAAAATAACGTGCTGCTGTTCTTCAGGGTCTTCAAACGGATGTCTTCCAACGGGGCAGGTCCCTCTGTGGAAATGAACAGCTGTAGGGGCCTATGCCGAGGGAGGTGGGGGGATGGTTCATTCCAACATCATCGGTGACTCTTGGGTTGGCACTGGTCTTCCTCCTCGTCCTCGTCGTCCTCCCCCTCCTCGTCGCCCCCCCCTCCTCCTCCTCTGTTCCTCTGTTCCTGTCGCGATGCAGTCCAGCTCCCGAAAGGCCACGCTACACGCGCGACGACGACGAGAAGACGGGCGGCCGGGCCTGCAGCCGCTCCCCATGGCAGCCTCCAGCTCCGACCGAAGCGGTTGCCGTCGGACGGATTTTTGCCGGATGTAGATCCTGCCTGGCTCTGCACGGCACCTCTGTTGCGAGAGGATCCACGACGCTGGCGGGAGAGGTCGATCGACCGCTGGGCGCCGAACGCGCCACACTTTGAGCACCAAAAGACCCCCCCCCCATACCCAGCCACAGCCTGTGGGTCTCAGGAGCTATCCTCGCAATCTTTGGCATACCCGCACATGGTGCCAAGCAGAGGCCTGTCCTTGACTGGGAGCGGCCCCCACACAAGGTACAGAAAAACTGCACTGAAAATGTACCTGCTCTGCGAACACTGTGGCCATTGGCATTTGCCACCAGCTCCAGGCCCCCTCCGTGTTTGGTCCTAGCAGGAGCCCTTATCTTAGACACATCCCCAAAACCCCTTTCCGAGAGAGCATGCAAAACCGAATCCTGGACAATCCCTAGATGTCTCGCCTGCTCAGACATAGAAACACACGGGGCTTTGACCCTCGCACTGCTCGGGAACATCCTGGCCCCTTCCCCCGCCAATTGGTCGGCCTCACGGTTCCCCGCCCAGACGGGGCCCCCAGGTCCGAAGCCTTGGCAAGGGGGAGATGGGGCCTACTTACGATGAGGGCGACGCTTCCCCCCCCCCCCCCCACTTCCTCGCCAGCGCGGGTGGCTTCTTTTACCCCAGGGCTCGCCATCGGCAATCTGATCTATGCCCCTGTCGGGGCCCCGCGCCGCGCATCAATCACCATCTGACAATCCGCGGCGACCGTGGCAGCACCGACAGACAGGAAGCGAAGACACATGAGCAGCGCACAAACTTCCCCACACCCCGCCCCCCGCACAATATGTGGGAGAGGGCCGTGGAAGGAGGCAGTGATAGAGGCGGCATCCGGATCCATCCCAACTACCGCCCATCCCGCCCTGGTAAACAACATAGCATGGCAAATCGCAGAACCATCAAAACACACTCTGGACGCCAGCAGGCCCGACGCAGGCCCCCTTACTCACGCCGCTCTATCATGCAGGTCTGGCGGGGGCCACGCGCTTTCAAGGGACTGCGTAGGCACACGGGCACACTGAATCAGACGCGCGTCAGGACGAGCGGCTTTCAACTCAACTTCGGGAAGGTCGGGCATCCGCGCTGCGCAGGACACCTCCGCAGCCGACGCATCTGGGCGCCAGCCTCGAGACCGCGCATCCGGCACGAGCAGTCAACGACGCGGCGATTTTCAAACAGGCATGCTGGCGCTGGGTAGCCCCCCGCTGCCAAACCAGACAGTAGCCAGGCCATCTCCCCACTCTGCTTCCCCACCTCTCCCCTGCACCCCCGACGCAGCTGGATGACGGGTGCAAGCAGCGGCAAAGACGGACTCTGGAACGGGTTCAAGCCGGCCCTCACTCGGAGAGCCCCCCGAGCACCCCATCGAGCGCTGCGAAGAGTTCCCCCCCCGCCCCCGAAGATCGAGGAGGGCGCCGTTCCCTGTCTTCCAAAGGTGCCAGCTGACCGGCCTCCGCCCGAGCCTACGCAGCGCATGGGCGGCGACGCCAGCGGGGCCTTTCGCTTCTGACCACCCAAGCCCAAGCATGCTTAGCGCGGCATCAAAGCAGGATCGCAGGACGTCGGGCGGAGACCAACCTCCTCGCGCAGCACGAGACCAAGAGTGGAGCGGCAACTCGGTCGCAGCGCGCTCTGGGTCTGTGTCAGGCTCGGCGGACACCCTGAACTCCGACGCCCTGCCCCTGCCTCTCCCAGCCCCAAAGGAACCGCGGGCAAGCGACGATCGCAGCGAACGGGCCCTCCTGTCACGCATGCCCCTGGCACTCGCCCCACACACGCCTTCAGGCACCGCTCCTGCCTGCAGCGCCAGCAAGAGCCCACCGAACGACCTTCGGAGGCCTCTAGACTTGGACGGGCGGACAGCGACGCTGCCGAGCCCGCTCTTGACGACTCTCTTAGCCCCCGCGCCCTCGCGGCCCACCCCGAAGTCGACCCTGAGGTTCT